GGGAGAAAAATGGAAGTTTTGTTCAGTTGTGTCCAACTTCATGACTCCATTTTGGGTTTTCTTGGCAAAGATAGAGTGATTTGTCATTTCATCCTCCAGCTCATTTTACAGATAAGGAACTGAGGCAAACAGGGTTAAGTGGCTTGTCCAGGGTCATACAGCTATTAAGTGTCTCAGGCCAGATTTGAAATCAGGAAGATGAGTGTTCCATGACTCTAGGCATCGCGCTCTATCCACTGTGCCACCTAGCTGTTATGAACTATATACAAGTTAAATAGGAACTAAAATTAAGGAAGAGGGAAGGAACTAAAATTAAGAGGGATTGAAAAAGGCTTCCTGTAGAAAAACTGTTATATTTAAAGTTGTTATCAATATACATTAGTAAAATTAATGTATGATTTTGAGCACTAGGACCATTTAGTTTCATAAAAGCAACTTGAAAGGAAAACTTTTTTCTATTTCAGAGAATACTTTTATAGCGCATGTAGTAATTGTTCATTAAACATTTTATAGAATTTCTATATAAATCTTTCTAGATCAGTATGTATTTTTCTCTTGTAGTTTACTCATGGTTGGCTCAACAGTATTTTCTTAAATTGGGTTGTTATATACACACACACTTACATATATATGTGCATGTATATACACCTTGCTTTTTTAATATATTTTATATTTTTTGTAGATTCGCATCCACTTCCTTTGAATTCTCAATTTGAATGGCATATAATAGTGTCTTGTAGTTTGTAATAATTTTCCTAATCTTCTTTATGCTTGATGTGAGCTTGCCTTATTCATTTATTTTGATAACTTAATTTTACTATGTATTAAAAAAAATATCTCTTGGCTTTATCGGTTCTATATTCTTCTTATTTTCAAGTCTTTCTATTTCTCTTCTTCCCTGCAAGATTTCTTCTTTTGAACTGTTTTAGAATTCTGAGTAGTATGATAAAGTGGACCAAGAGCTGGCCTTAGAGCCAGGCAGAACTAAGCTTAAGTACTGCTTCTGACACATACTTTCTATGTTCTCCTGGTCAATTCACCTAATCTCTCAGTACTCTAGGCAACTCTCTAAGACTTTAAGTTTCAGAGGTGTTGATCTGTACTGGTAGAAGCAGTTTCTTCACTTAAAGTCCCCTTTATCAGTGAAATCACAGAACCTCTATCTAGCCTACCTCTATCTAGAAATTTAATCACACGCTCAGTCTATCAATACTCCTTTTCTGTTCTATTGATGTAAGTTTTTAATGATTCTCCATTGAAGACTACTTTAAATGTTTTCCACTAGTTTTTGGTATGTTTTGTCATTATTGTAATTCTCTTTAATTTAATTATTTTTTGTTTTAATGATTTGTTCCTTGACCTACTCATTATTCAAAATGCAATGGCTCAATCTTCACTTAGATAAATATTTTTCCTCATATTTACTTTATTAATTGCTAAAAGATATGCTTATTATTTCTTACTTTTGCCTTTGTGATTGTTTATGACCTAATGCAAGATCAAGTTTTGGAAAAATATGGTGAGGTACTGATAAATTGATATATTCTGTAATATTTTGCTCATTTATAATCAAAGGGCTTTCATATTTAATTTTTTCAGTAATATATTCAGCTTTCTAATTTCTTATTTATATTTCTATTGGATTTATCCAGTTCTGAGAGAAGAATATTAAAAGCATTTATACTTATTGTATTGTTACCAATGTATTTTTGCAATTTACTTAGCTTTCCTTTAAAGAACTTAGTATAATATTCTATTTGTTGCATTTAATTTTAATAATATGGTTTATCATTATCAATGGAGACTTTAAGCAAATAGTTTCCTTGTTTGTCTCTCCTGATATCAATTATTATTCTTGCCTTAGCTGAAATCATGACTGTGATTCATGCCTTTTTTAGTCTGATGTGAAACATAATAGATTTTGTTTCATCCCTCATTTTCACTTTATGTTTCCACATAGTTTCCAAATAGTCTGGTACTATAAGCTAATTCCCTTGGCTGCCATCTCTCCTAATAAAGATGTAAGTCTTTTCTGGACTTTTTGCTCTTTTTATTGTGACAAATCTTTTCATCAGCTAAACTTCTCTAGGAAGTGATAATTCTTTCACTTTTATCCAATTTTTCACAGTTGATGCTTTTATAAACATTGGATTCTAGCTATTTTGATAATCTTATGTGCCTTCTTCTAATCTTTATCCTTTTTTTCCCTTCTGACTTGATATTTACTGTAACTTTTCCCCAAAAGGCATTGATCTTGTTGGATAAAATAATTGATTTTATATTGACTAGTATATTTGTAACTAGGCAATCTTTATGTCTCACAGTAAATTAGTTTCAGCTTTTATGGTGTTATTCTATACTTTGAATGTCCAGTGCCTTCTGACTGTCTTCTTGAGGAATACATTTATAATATGGAGATTCACAGTTTCTAGGGAATTCTTTTTTTTTTTTGTATTCTGCTATCTAAAAAGAACTGCTCTTCTCTTTTTTGGTATTCAAATCCAGAATATAAAATTACACACAGACACAGAGTTAGTTAGTTAGTTAGTTACTTAGTTAGTTAGTTAGTTAGTTAGTTAGTTAGAAAGTGGCTTTCTTTTTCGTTGTGGTCACATCTTTTTTTCTGCTCCAAACACTTCAATAGAGCCTTATAGCCTACCAAATGAAGGTCAAAGAAAAAGGGCCTGGCTTCCAAGGCTCTCTACAATTTGGCCTCTCTTGCTTTATTTCATTTTATACCATTGCCCTCCACATGATCTATCCTTCACTCAAATTCTACTCTCTGTCTCTGTATGTATCCCAGTTTTTCTTCCTCCTTCCCTTTCTTTAGGTTGTACCCAGTGTCTGAAATAGTGAACTGGCACCATCCTTTAACCAACTTATATGCTGAATTTCTACTCATCACTTAAAGCCCAATTTAATGATATATCTTCTAGGAAATTTTCTATTACAATTCAAGCCGCTAATGACTTTTCACCTACTCAGAGCTCACATAACATTATTTTGTACCTCAGATGCAAACAGTACATTTGTAATACAAATACTTATGCAAATATATTCACCAGCAAGACTAGAAGTTACATGAAAACATAGACTTTGTCATACTTAAATTTATTACATATTCATTGAATTGAATTAGCCACTTGGTAAAGTGGATAGAGTGCTGGATCTGGAGTCAGGAAGACCTGAATTCAAATAAGCTGTATGACCTTGGGCAAGTTAATTAGCTTCTATTTATTTCAGTTTCCTCAGCTGTAAAATGAGGATAATTATAATACCCAATTCCCAGGGTTGTCATGAGGATAAAATAAGATAACATTTGTAAAACACTTAGCATGTTTCCTTGTACATGGTCAATGCTATATAAATTCTAGTTATCATTATTATTATAATTGTTATTATTTTCAGAACTCAAATCCTAAGCCCTCTTTTTCCACCAATATGCTGCCACCATTGCAGAAAGAGAAGGGGAGTACACAAACCAAGAGACATTTTACATATTTCCCCCACCTATTTCATAAGTGGTTTTTGGGCCAGATTAGAACTGAGGAGGTGTGAGAGAACGGCACCTCAACCTCCACAGATGTATACTTCCACAACATCAGCAGGGACTGTTTCAAGGCAAGTAAGTTGTGGGGAAGACTGGGGTAATTTGGGTTAACTTAGGCCAAATGAATTTATCTGGGATCCAAATCTTGGGTCAAGAAGAGTATAAAAGTAGTTTTTAGAATTTTGGTGGGGAACTCTAGAGACCCCAGGGAACCTACTTGCTAATTGCTTTTAACCTTTTTGCTAGGGATTTTCATCTTCATGAACTGCATTTAATAACCTTGAAAACTGTTCTTACTTGAGGGCATTAGAATATAGTTTTATTAAAATATATTTGAACCTTTAGGTACTGAGTGAGCCATTACACAAGATGCAGAATTATCACCAGGACACTTGTTATAGCAAATGTATGATATGTATTGCATATAAATAACATTTATTTATACTGTGCATGTGAATCACATACATATTTATACACATGTATGTAAGTAAATAAATAAAAATTAAAAGTATACATATAAGTATATATGTATATATGCCTTATATGTGTATATACATGTGTGTATGTCTGTGTTACCTGATAGCCACACGTCTAGTGATGAACGTATAAGTAGAATATTCACCAGGTACTCAAAGAAGCTTCCATGACACAATTAGGCATTGGGATAGGACTACACAAATAGAAAGTGCAGTTGGTTTGTTAATGGTCATAAATCTCAAATCAAAGTTTCTACAAGAGGTCTGATTTAGTGGAAGGAACATTGGATTGGGAGTGATAAGACAAGCTCTATACATACCCTTTCACAACTAAGTAACTATGCAATGTTGTATGTTACTCAACTCCTCTGGGACTCAGTTTTCTCAACTGTAAAGTGAAGGAGGTTGGACTAAATGATTCCTAACGTGCCTTCCAGAACCAACATTAATTCAGCATTTTTATTTGGCTTTCCAGTTGAATTATCAAGTTGTCTTATTGTATCTCTCTGGGTTGCTCTTAATTTTGTCAACACAAGAATTGGCAAGCCTTTAAATTAACAGTAGTTAATGCAGTTATGTTATTATTCTCTTAGAAGTTTTTGTGAGTTCACCATTACATAGAAAGTGATTAAAATTAATAAGACAAAATGCCACAAGAACAAAATTATGATGAGTCCACTGCTTTAAGGTGTTGCTAGTATTTTAACATCATGCACTTTGCCCCTAAACATGTAACTCACTTTGTACACAGTGAAACCTGAAGTATACTTAAGAGATCCAGTATGTATGAACACCTACCATAGGATGAGCAAGTTGAAATAATAATGGTAGCTTTAAAAAATATATATTCAAAATTTCAAATTGGTTTAAATTTGAGAAACATTTATCGTGTATCTCTTGTTTATTCTTCATTTTGCAGAGGACCAATGACATCACAAGGTGATGTCTTGACTTGTGCGTGAATTGGATTTAAGTAAGGCAAAGTTGTAGAAAGTCATCAGCCTCACTCTTTCTTCCGGAGTCATCAAAGTCCAGTGGCAAGATAAAAGTTAAGACTACCATATACAAGGTACTTTTTTAGGTGCTAAGGAAACCAATACAAAAAAAAAATATATAAATAAATCCTATTCTTTAAGAGCTTACGTTCTCTTTTCATTTGGACGAAGATATACATGAAAATAACTACATGCTAGTATAAGGTAATCACTTATAAATGCCCAAATTATTGATATAAAAACCATTATTTAAGTTGAAAAGAATGGGGACATATGCATATATACATACATGTACACACACAAATACATATATACATATAAACAATATAAATATATTTTTAAAATATATTTTAATTTGTTTTGAAATAAATTAAAAATACATATTTTAATTTTCCCAAAGAGATTAAGGGAAAAAGGGAAGAGAAGAAATGAAGAGAAGAGGGAGCAGGAGAGAGAGAAGGGGAGAATCAATAACATACTTCTCTGAATGGAGGGTTACACTATGGAAGAAATGGAAGAAGGAAGCCTGAGAGAATTTTGCCAGGAAAATGTTTTCCACCTTTGGAATTATGGAATCAAGGCCAAAGACTTACATTCTGAGATCTATGGCTTCACTTCCTGTGTAGTGTTTAGTTAGTTCTAGGTAGCACAGTTTAGAAAGGCCATGGATAAACTTGAGATCATCTGGGGGAGGTAAATGAAGGTAGTGAGTATGTTTAACCCAAGAGGGGGAAATTTTAGGGCAGCTTGATAGCCATCTTCAAGTACTTAAAGAACTATGACCTTGAAAAGGAATTGGACTTGTTCTTGGCACCAGGAGACAAATAAGGAGCAATGGATAGAAATGGTAGAGAGGCAGACTTAGGCCTGATATAAGGAAAAACTTCCTAACAATGAACGCTATTAAAAAAATGGAGTAGCATGCTTAGGGAGTGATGATTTTTCTCTCAATGGAAGTCTTAAAGTATGGCTAAGTGACCATTTGTCAGATGTCTCTTTTGGGGTTCTTTTTTTCATGTATGGCTGGGCTTAAATAGACGATGAGGTTCTTTCCAGCTCTGTGATTCTGTATTTCCTAACCTAATTGACAGAACTGGAGAGTTCACCAATGTGCTGAATAGAACTATTCCAACCCCTCAAGTAAAAAAACATAATGAGTTTAGGAAATAATATCATGGAAGAACAAAACCAATCATATGATCATCTAGATCTGCAATTAATTTTAGAAGACTGAGCCTTCTGTGAATGTGTAGAATGCTGCTAGGCATGGGGAAGAAATGCATAAAAAAGTGTTCCCTGATTTAATGGAGTTTTCCATCTAGAAGTATGAAAAATGCACATATAATTATGATATAGCATAGTACATATAATAAGGGCAATAATTATGTAAAAGACCACAGGCTATGTAAGGGCTGTGGGAGAAATGATTGTTGCTGACTAAAGGGATCACAGAAGGTTTTATAGAAGGGATGCTATCTGAATTGGGCATTAAAGAATTGGTTGGTATTCAATAGTCAAAGAGAGGATGAAAGCACATTTCAAGGATAGGGAACAGATTGAGCAAAGGCTTGGAAACTGGATAGCATATGGTTTTTTTAAGCAACAAATAGTCTAGGCCATGTAGGACATAGATTCTGAGGCAAAGCTGTATAAGGTAATTTTGGAAAGATAGAATTGCACAAGATTTGGGTGTCTGAATTCAATTCAGTTGACCATAAACAGCCACTGAAGAATTTGAGGGATGACTCAACAAGATATGGGATATACACAGAAGAAACATTAAGTCATACAGCACTATAAAGGATGAATTGGAATAGAAAGAGAGCAGAAGTGGGAAGATGTCTCGCAGGCTATTGCAACAGTTCAGATGGGTGGTCAGTCAATAGTCAACAAGCATTTAATAAGTTCTTGCCAGGTGCCAGGTATCATGCTAAGTTCTGGGGTTACGAAAAAAAGGCAAAAATATGGTCCCAATTCTCAAGAGCTCCCATTCTCATAGGAGAGATAAATATACAGATAACTGAAACTACAAGATATATACAGTACAAAAGGGATATAATATCAGAGGGAATGCAGGAGCACACACAGCAATGAAGCAAAGTGGCCCAATGAGGCAATGAGAGCAATTTTAAAATTGTAAAGCACTCCAAAGGTATAGTACAGCTAGATCAAACAGTTCTGTGCTCTAGGTTGTCAAGCACCACATATCCCACAGACAAGATCCTCTTAGGGCCACCTTCTAAACAGAGAACCTGATATCAGTGTGTCTACATGGTATGGATTTGCTCCCATGGAAGTGTATTGTAAATTCGGGCAATTTGATGAGAAAATAATGGAAAATTTAGTGGGGAAAAAAAAATCACACCTCAGGAAAGTTTAAGGTTTTACTTTATCAGATATAAGAACTAACATACTTGCTCCAGGGAATTCAATCTGATTTCAAATTGTGTTTTCCATGTCTTTGTATAGCAACATTTAACGTTCTGCTTTTGAGAGCTGTAGTACTTAGTTATATGTGATTTAAGAATCTTCAGGGCATATAGGAATCAAATGTTAACACAGCTCCACAGTAACGCTGACAAGCAATTTCCACATTCTATTCCATAATCTACCCCTAACAAATACATAAGGGAGCGAGGTGGCAAGTAATAGTCCATTTGGATGATGGGGAAATTGTTAAATGAATGGCCCCAGACTTCTTATTGTGGAGAACTGGGAATAGTGACCACTATTCTTAACTGTTAAATTATTCTATTAGCCATAATACAATTATGGAAAAGAAGGAATTCGTTAATTTCTCTTATTGGATGTCATAAGAGATTCATATTTAAGTATTAGAACTTACTAGTCTCAAAACAATGTTAATTCCAATATCAGCTTTCTAGTTTTATAAATTGGAAAGCTCTTCTAGTTTCTAAATATCTGATAACATAAAACTGTTCTTTCTCCTGAAAAAAAGAAAAAGAAAGAAAAAGAAGAGCAATAACAACAAACAATTGAATGCTGGGAGATAATGGGTTGATTTTGGTCATAATCCCCATATTTTCATGTTGGTTACATTCCTTTGGAAAAATGTTAAAATTGGAAAATGCATTCATCATGAAGGATTCAGTATTAAAAATGTGTTGTCCAAAACTATCATAAAACCAATATTTTGACAAGTATATACATACTTTAAACATTTCCAGAGTGCCTCCCAACCCATAGCTGTTCCAACAGGTAATCAACGTGCCTGTTTTTCTGCAATTCTTATTTATTTGTCATTTTGCTTTTTTTTCAACTTTGCCAATCTGATGGGTGTAAGGTGGAAACTGTTGCTTTAGCTTTCAATTTTATAATTATTAATGATTTATATGAATATAGTTATGTTAAGGGATATATAAATATGTATGTATATATGTAACACTTAGGAACTGTCTCTTTATAACTTTTAACCATTTATCAATGTGTAAATAACTTATATTAATCAGTTCCACGTATTGTTGTTCAGTCATTTTAGTCATTTTGGTGGTTTTCTTGGCAAAGATACTGGACTGGTTTGCCATTTCCTTTCCCAGCTCATTTTACAGATAAGGAAACTGAAGCAAATAGGGTTGTGACTTGCCCAGGGTCACACAGCTAGTAAGTGTATGAGGCCAGATTTGAAATCAGGTCTTCCTGACTCCAAGCCTGGTACTCTATCCACTGAACCACCTGGCTGCCATATATATACATGCATACATACTTATATATATATATATATATGTATATCTTAGAAATGAGACCTTGTAAGAGAAACTTGATACAAATATTGCTTTCCCATTTGAGTGTTTCCTCTCCAATCTTTACTATCTTGGAGTTGTTTGTATATAAACTTGTAGATTTTATGTAATTAATATTATCCATTTTACCTTCTGGATCTACTATGTCCCAGATTTAGTGATGAACTTTTCTTTTATCTGTAGATCTGAAAGGTACTTTCTTATTTGTTCTAATTTTTTCATAATGTGGCCTTTTATATGTAGGTCATATATTTATTTGGATCTCATCTTGGCACATGGTGTGAAGTGTTCATCTTGACTTAATTTCTGCCAGACTGCTGTCTAGTTTTCCCAAAAGTTTTTAGCAAATTGTGAGTCCTTCCAACCACTAGCCTTTAGGAATATATGAACTATAAGTTACTGTGTTTCTGTATATTATGCACCTATTCAGTTCCACTAATCTCCCTCTCTTTTCTTAACCAGTTCCAAATTATTTAAATAATTATAACTTTATATTAACATTTTAAAATTAGCATTGCTAGATCGCATTCCTTCCTACTTTTTTCTTCATTGATTCCTTTGGGAATCTTGACCTTTTTCCCCTTCAGATGAACTTTGTTATATTTCACTTTCTCTATTGGTAGAATGATTAGTATGGCACCGAGTAAGTAAATAATTTAGATAGTATTGCCATTTTCATTTTATTAGCTCAGTCTACCCATGAAAAATGATTATCTCAAATTATTAAGGTATTTTTCTTCTATAAGTTGTTTTGTAGTTATGTTCATATAGTTCTTATGTGTATCTTGGTATGTAAACTTGGTAAGTAAACTAAACTAAATAAATAGTACTTTGCACATTTCAAATTTATTTTAAATTGAATTTCTTTTCACTATTCTTGGTTTATATTGGCAACAGCAGAAATGCTGATGATTTATGTAGATTTATTTTATATCCTTCAACTTTACAGAAGTTTTAATTGTTTCAGTTAATTTCAGTTGACTCTCTAGGGTTCTGTAAGTACTCCCATCATATTATATGCAAGGATAATTTTGCCTCTGCTTATTCCCTAATTTTTTAAATTATCATATTGCTGTGGCTAACATTTCAAGAACTATGTCAAATAGTAGGGGTGACAATGGATATTCTTATTTTACAATTCATATTATTGGAAATGGGCATCTAGGTGGTTCAGTGGATAGAGTACTGGGCCTGGAGTCAGAAAGACTCATTTTTGTGAATTCAAATCAAATTATTAGTTGTGTGACCATAAGGAAATCTCTTAACCCTGTTTGCCTCAGTTTCTTCATCTATACAATTAGCTAGAGAAGGAAATGGCAAACTACTCCAGGATCTTTGTCAAGAAAACCTTAAATGGGCTCAGAAAGAATTGAACACAACTGAAAAAAAAAACTGAGCAATAAACAAGCGATGACAATGGATACCCTCATTTTACAATTCATATTATTGGAAAGGATTCATTTTTTTTATCCCAATTACACAAAATGCTGGTTCTTGGTTTTAAATATATGCTATTTAGCATGTTAAGGAAATGACCATTTTAATTTTTTTTAAAGAAATGAGTATTCTTTTTTATCAAAAGTTTTTTCTGATTGGATTGATATGAAGATTATTGCTGTTCTTGTTATTTATGTGGTCAGTTTTATTTACAGATTTGCTAATATCATGTCCTAGTATAGGATACACTAGCATTCCTAGTATAAGTCCAACTTTGTCATATTTTTTAATGTTTGTAGCCTCTTTGCTAATATTTAAATTTTTTATATTAATGTTAATTAGAGCTTGGTCTAAAGTTTTCTTCCTTTGCTTAGGCTCTCTAGTTTAATTGTAAAAACTACATGTATGTCATAGAAGGAATTTGGTAGGATCCTGTTTTTGTTATTTTGGCAAACAAAATTTGTACAATATTGGAATTTTTCTTTGAATGTTTAATAGAATTCGCTGATAAATCCATCTGGTCTTGCTGCCCTAGATGACATCTTTAAATGCAGGTCCTGGGAGGAGCCATCCAATTCTGCTATCCTCTTTCATTTCTCATTGACTTAATATCATTCATATTTATAGTTACGATTGTTATTTATGTAGTATCCTTGATCCTTTTCTCTTATACTTTTCTCCTCTCTTCACTCCTGTTATATTTGCAGGTGTTTCATCTGGTGGCTTGTCTGTGTATATAATAGGATTTTCTTTTCTTTTCTTCTTTCTTTCTTTCTTTCTTTCTTTCTTTCTTTCTTTCTTTCTTTCTTTCTTTCTTTCTTCTGTCTGTCTTTCTTTCTTTCTTTCTTTCTTTCTTTTCTTTCTTTCTTTCTTTCTTTCTTTCTTTCTTTCTTTCTTTCTACTATTTAGCGGCACTCTCTGGATGTTTCTGTGGGGGATTTTTCTCTACTAAGAGTTCTGGCCAGTTTTCTTGTGTTGTTTGATGAATTATGACACTCAGTTTTTTGGTTTTTTTGTTTTGGGGGGTTTTTTGGGATTTTTTGGTACTGTTCTTCTGGAAGATCTATTATTTTTAAGGTACTAAGAGGTCAATGTGTTATTTTCTTGTTATTGTCTTTTGTTTCTCTTTTACCAGATTTCCTTCCAATTTACTATATTTTTGTTCCAAATCAATTGTTTTCTCTTTGTCTTTTTTGGGGAAAGTCATCACTTTCATCCCCTTCCCCCCCAACCCCCTGTAATCTGCTAATTATTTTACTTTCAAGATTTAAATTCTGTTATTTGTTCTATTTTTATTTCTTCTCTGAGGCAAGCAAGGTTAAGTAACTCGCTTAGGACCATGCAGCTGGCAAGTGTCTGAGACCAGATTTGAAATCAGGTCTTCCTGCCACCAGGCCCCGTTCTCTATCTACTCTGTCATTCAAGTCAAGACATCACCCTCATGAAATCATTGGTCTACTTTGAGAATAAAAACAAACAAGACCAAGAACAAGAACAGTAACAACTTCTTCTGAAAAAGATTTCATTTCTCTTTTGATCTACTCTGGAATTTCTTGTCATCCTATGCTTTCTTAGGATTCTGCATCCTTTGTTGCTTTGGATATCTTTACTTCATCTTGAAATATTTATTGAGAGATTTGTACTCTCTTTGAGAGTGTAGTACTCATCCTTTATTATATCTTTAGGATCTTTTCTCTTGATTCATCTGTTTGTACTTTTCATTCCTCATTGTACTTTCTTCCTCTTGAGCTCCTCAATGTTTCAGCTTTTTCTCCTTATACTCCATTATTTTTCATCTTTTTGGAGTGGTAAACTTTATCCTCCTTGACCTTCTTTGCATAGACTCAGATTCCTAGATTTTATTTTTACTTATCTAATATTTATTTTTATGTATTTTTTCCATTGTCCAGATAAAACTCTTTATTCCTCTCCCTTTTTGTTGGAAAGTTCTTGACCAGTAACAATCTGGTTTCAAAAAATATCCATTTTTCCCTCTTGCTCTCTCTTTCATTTCTCTACTACATGTCTCTAGCTGATCTTTCCATCATAGCATAATCCACAACTATTCTTCCTTTTCCTCTCAAAGATATTCAAACAATTTCACACTTCTGCAGTAAATGAAAACATTTTTATCTTTTTCTTTTTGAACATATAAAAATTGGTTTTTGGATTTTTTAAATCTTTATTTACTTTATTTTGTTTCCATTTCAGATACCCTGTTCATCTAGTTTCTAGGATTCTCGTAAAAGAATAAGTAGGACAACTGTTGGAGAGACTATGAGAAGATAAAAAGACTGACACACTATCAATGGAGCTGTGGATTAATCCAATGATTCCAGAAAGTAGTTGAGGTAATACATTAAAAACCACTAAACTATGCCTACACTTTCACTCACAAATACCACCACTAGATATACAGGATATAAACCCCCCAAAGAATTCAGAGATAAAGAGAAAGGATCCATAAGTACAAAAATATTTTTAACATTTCTTGCCCAAGCTGGACATGCAGGGGTCACTCACTAGAACAATGCCACTACTAATTGGCATGGAACCTTTTACCTGCTCAATTTCTGATTTCAGTTGGTCTGATTCTTTTTATGCAACCTGGTGCCCCCTCAAATTCCGAGTGGCTCATTATATTGATACCATACTTAGTGCAGACACTTGCATTCCCATTTCGAGGAAAGGCACAGACCAACCATTCTTCATTATCCTGAATCCCACTACCATGTCTCCTCACAATTATCTTCTCTACCATCTAAGGTTGTGCTGGAGCTACCTCATACCAACTATAAAAAGGCTATTGTTTAATTTCAGTGTTAGAATTTGGTCAGCAAATGCTACAAATAAGGGCTTAATTTATTGTTTTGTTAACTGTCAAGGCTTTAAAAAGTTGTGAAGAAAATGTTAATAAAGTAGATTAAGCTCAAAATGTGTTGTGCATACATTTTTTTCTGAGAAGTATTTCTTAAACATTTGATAGCACAACACTGCCCTATCCTACTTTTCAGTTCCTTTTTGTTATTTTTCTTTCTCCATTAAAATGTAATTTCCTTGATGGCAGGAACGGTCTTGTTTTGCTTGTATTTGTAACTCCAGTTCTTAACACAGTATCTAGTTCATAGTGAGCATTTAATAAATGCTTGACTTGACTTGATCTCTCTTGGAGAATGGTTAAATAAATTATGGTATATGAATGTAATGAATTTTTTTTTGTTCCATAAGAAACAACAAAATAGATAATTTCAGAGGATATTGGAAGATCTCTATAAATTGAGTCAGGGTGAAGTGAGCATAACTACAAAAATAATTTATATGACAAAAGTATTATAAAGAAATGTAATTAATGTAATAATGAATCATAAGTCCAGAGTAGTGAAGGTTAATGATATTGCTCACCTCCTGCGAGAGGAGTGATTGAGTTAGAAATGCAGAATAATGTTACTTTTGAACGTGGCCAAAGTGGGGATTTGTTATGCTGAATTATGCACAATCATTTTTAAGGCTTGTTGTTATTGTTTTGTCATTTTTCAGTTGTGTGCAACTCTTTGTGACCCTTTTTGGGGTTTTCAGAGATACTGGAATGGTTTGCCATTTCCTTCTCTAGCTCATTTTACAGATAATGAAACTGTGGCCAACAGGGCCAAGTGATTTGCCCAGGGTTACACAGCTAGTAAGTGTCTGAGGCCAGTGTCTTGAGGACACTATTTATATACATGCATGCGTACATATACACATACATGCATATGTGTGTGTGCGTGTGTGTATGTGTGTATTTCAGCGAGGTGGCTCAATGAATAGAGTGCAGGTACAGAGTTCAAATTTGGCCTCAGATATTCACTAGCTTTGTGTCACTGGAGAAGGAAATGGCAAACCACTCCAGTATCTTTGCCAAGAAAACCCCATGGACAGTACTGGCATGCTATAGTTGATAGGGTCAAGAAGTGTCAGATATAACTTACTGAATAACTGAATACACATGCACACATATACATACCTACATATACACACATATGTATATACACATACATTTGTATAGTATATGTATGTGTGTGTGTGTGTACCCCAGTCTCTTCCCTGAGGGTCAATCCAGCATCACCAGTTGTATGTTGGGCATTCATACTGGAAACATCAAAGCCTCTGGTTGTAGATAGCTATCTAATTTAGGGTTCCACACTCTTAGATAGTCCCCAAATCCTCTCTGGTTTAGCTTCAAATAAATTTGAGGCAGAACAAAATGTCACCTCAGGAGGCAAGGCCAGTGATCTCCACTCACACAGGCCACATTCCTGTCTTTATTATGAATATCTGTCATCAGCAAAGACTCATTGCTTTGGTGGCATGTTTTGACCAGTGAAAAACCTCAGTCTTTTTACAGAACAAGGTAGCACAAAGAGCCAAAAACGATACTCCACATGTGGCATGACCAAGGTAACATAAAGTGAAATTAACTCCTTTCTCATTCCAGATAAGCCTAAGTACACCCACGTTTTTGTTATTGTTGTCATTCCACGTTGCTAACTTTTATTGAACTTACTTAACATCTTTTGAAGAAACAAACAAAAAAAACTTAGTCATGCTCACAAATGAGAAGTGAGGAGGGTATGAATAGAGTGGTAGTGACGTGAGCAGAAAGAAGAAGCCACATGAGAGAAATGTCATGGAGATAGAAACTGCAGGATATGGTAATTGATTGGGTATGGGGTGAAGGAACCTGAGAAACTGAGAATAATACCAAGGTTATAAGCCAAGCAGATTTAAAGCATAGTGATATCCTCAACAGAAATAAAGAAGTTTAGAAAAGGAATGTGTTTTGGGGAGAAAGAAAGTTCTGATATCACTATGCTTTAAATCTGCTTGGCTTATAACCTTGGTATTATTCTCAGTTTCTCAGGTTCCTTCACCCCATACCCAATCAATTACCATATCCTGCAGTTTCTATCTCCATGACATTTCTCTCATGTGGCTTCTTCTTTCTGCTCACGTCACTACCACTCTATTCATACCCTCCTCACTTCTCATTTGTGAGCATGACTAAGTTTTTTTTGTTTGTTTCTTCAAAAGATGTTAAGTAAGTTCAATAAAAGTTAGCAACGTGGAATGACAACAATAACAAAAACGTGGGTGTACTTAGGCTTATCTGGAATGAGAAAGGAGTTAATTTCACTTTATGTTACCTTGGTCATGCCACATGTGGAGTATCGTTTTTGGCTCTTTGTGCTACCTTGTTCTGTAAAAAGACTGAGGTTTTTCACTGGTCAAAACATGCCACCAAAGCAATGAGTCTTTGCTGATGACAGATATTCATAATAAAGACAGGAATGTGGCCTGTGTGAGTGGAGATCACTGGCCTTGCCTCCTGAGGTGACATTTTGTTCTGCCTCAAATTTATTTGAAGCTAAACCAGAGAGGATTTGGGGACTATCTAAGAGTGTGGAACCCTAAATTAGATAGCTATCTACAACCAGAGGCTTTGATCTCACTCTAGTCATATGGGTTGAAAAGGAAAGACCTAATCTTAGCCTGGGGACTTTTATTAGCAGGGTGTGGTGGTTGTGACTAAAGAGTTGTTAGCCTGCACTTAGAGTGAAGAAGTTCTTGCCACTACATCCTAGCTTACTGAAGCTGAGATGGCTTTGCTGGCTCTGAAGAGATGAGTCTAGAAGATTGCAGCAGGGAATAGTGCCTAGCAGAAATACCAAGAGGTTCAGAGGAATAGGCCAGAAGAGCTGTGTGCCAGCCAGGACAATAGTAAGTAACAACAACAACAACAATAAAAGTATCTAACATTTATGTAGCACCTACTATGTGCCAGGTGCTGAGCTAAGCACTTTTACATATATTATTTTATTTGATATTATCTCATTTGATCCTTACAACACTGTAAGAGGTAGATGCTATTATTATTCCTATTTTACAATTGGGGAAACAGGTAAACAAAGGTCAAGTGATTTGTCCATGGTCATTAGTGTGAGAGTAGATTTGAATTCAGGTCTTCCTCACTCCCAACAGGGAATTCTACCCATTGCGCCACCTAGCTACCTCATTTATTTATGCAAAAAGGCACTATGTGGCAGGACTAGTGAAGCAACACAGACCGCAGAAAACCTGTTCCCTGGGAGGATCAACCCTCAAGAACCCAATAGAACATTTTTTTTTCAATAGGGTTTCCATAACTAGAAAAGAACATGCCTACAGAAAGTAACATGATGATAGCATCACGGCTATTATGGGTCCTGCAATGTCCTGCATTTTAATCACCCTTTCAGATAAATTCTTCATGTTTGGGCCCCTCATAGGTGATCCTTCCCTACTAAAGGTATATATATTTCTGGGTGTACGTTCTGAGGTTAATGGAAGTGCAGAGGAGAGGAACTTTCTATTGCAAATCTTCTGACTAAGCTGCAAATGATTTTGTTTTGAACTAATATACACTAACTGCCTAAAGAAAAAGTTAACACATATGTGAGGGCTTGAGAAACATATGATTTTTTTTTTTACTGGATATGGACCTACAGAGTATCTTAAACCTGGGATAACATTCTGGGATCCCAATGCGTGAGAGGAGGATGCTTCTGTATTTCATTAGAAAGATCAAAAGGTCTTGTCAAGGGTGGAAAAAGAACTCAAAGCAATATTATGAAAAGATTCTTTAAACAAGCTGCAGTATAATCCTTTGGGGGGGGGAATAGACATTCAATGAAATGGAGGACTTTCATGCATTCTTGATGAAAAGACCAGAGGTGAATAGAAAATTTGACTTTCAAATATGAGACTCAAGAGAAGCATGAAAAGGTAAACAGGAAAGAGAAATCATAAGGGACTTATTAAAATTTAACTATTTACATTCCTACATGGAAAGGTGATATTTGTAACTCATGAGACCTTTCTCAGTATCAGAGTAGCTGGAGGGAAGATATATGTGTATGTGTATGTATATATACATATATATGTATTTATACATATATATGTATTTACACATATATATGTATTTATACATATATATATATATATATAATATATATATATATATATATATATATATATAGAGAGAGAGAGAGAGAGAGAGAGAGAGAGAGAGAGAGAGAGAGAGAGAGAGAGAGGGAGGCACAGGGTAAGTTGAATATTAAGGGATGACATTTAAAAATAAAATCAAGGGGTGAGAGGATTATACTGAGAGGAGAAAGGGGGTGGTAGAATGGGGTAAATTATCTTACATAAAAGAGGCAAGAAAAAAGCTTTTACAGGGAAGGGGAAGAGGTGGGAGGTGAAAGGGTGATGAGATTATCGGATTTGATTTAAGAAGGGAATAACATACACAATTGGGTGTGAAAATCTATCTTATCCA